TGCCAGCCATAATCCCCCCCCCCCCCCCCTCCCCTTCTTCTTACGTGACAGGAAGTTGCTCGCGAGGGAACAAAAAATGGAAATTTGGAAATTTTCTTTTTTTATCATTAATATTAAAGCGAGCCGTTTCTCTTTTGATTTCGAGTTCGAGTCATTTCTAGAATTTCTGAAAGTCCGTGCTTTGATCGCGCGGGTTTATTCGCGGTGGAATTGGAAAGTGTGTGCACAGTGTCGGCGCACTTCTCGCGGATTCTCTCCTCCCGTTCGCCATTTTAATTCCACCCTTTTAGCCCTTCCTCGTTTCCCTTGCGTATTTTCGAGATTTGCTCCGTTATTGTTATACGCTGTATCGCCGCTTCTGCTATTCCCTCGTTGCATTCTACGCTCTCTTCTGTTCTTCATCTTCTTCTTGTTATTTTTTAATTATCTTGAGCCAGGAATGGCTGCCTCGCAATTCGAGAGATATATACTCGCTCCGTAACGAAAACCTCCAGTCACGATTTGAAATAATTCAAACTTCGCTACTCGATGTAAACACCGCTCGGGGTTGACAAAACTTTTCGTCGCTTAGCCCGAAGAAGAGAAGAATTTCGCGAAAATTCGCCTGTTAACGACGCTCGAACTGACTTGAAACATTGAAAAGGTGGCGCGGGGGAGAAGGAAACTGTTCTTCAACAACCTTGCAAGCGAGCAACGTCCCACCGAGGGTCGTCGACCGACGGTTTTCGTCAAAAGAGACGAACAAGACGACGACAAAAGAGGAAAGAAAACGATGACGTGGCGCGGTAATTGACTCTCTGGTCCAGCACCTTTAACGAGACGTTCGCGCGAACCCTTCCGTTCGAGGTCGTTGAGAGATCGCACGCGATTGAGGGACGCGACACGGTGACCATTTGCGGATAATGGGACGGAACGAGGCGGAAAATGGCGCATCAGAAAGAAACTGGGATAAAGAAGATCATCCCGTTGTCCACTTAATAAAGCCGAGTGGCCAGAGAGATATAATATATCCTGTTAAAACCTACAATCCTTAACGACATCTGCATGTTTTAATAAATAGAATAGAAGGAGCGCGTTCGGAATAGAAATTGAAACCAAACAGAAGCCAAAGAAGATTTTCCGAGTTGAACCAGGAATTAAACATCTCTCTGTAAAGAGAAAAAAAGAGAACTTTGAAAGATCTAGAGAATAAAATATGCAACAGAAAAGGTACATATAATCATTTAACAGGAGGAGAACGTTTGAAATAAAAATTGAAACCGAGGGAAATTGAAATCTCTCTTTTCAAAATAAAAAGAAGAGAAGAAAACTTTGAAAGAAGAATGAAACCTGCAGTAGAAAGGTTATGAATAGTGAAAGTAAAGTAAATAAAGAAATTACAATCTTTGACTCTGATATAGATACTGTAACAAACGAAATTATTGAAATAATCGAATCGAAGGAGATCCTTAGAATTAAACAGTTCAGAAAAATTCTAAAAGATCTAGAAAAACTGCAGTATAAAGATCGTGATTAAAGTGAAAGAAAAAGGATCCACGATGCTTAACGATGTCTATATAACAAACAAATAAGAACAAGCCAAATAAAAATCAAAATCGGAGGAAATTCACCAAGTCGAATCGAGAAACTGAAAATTCCTATTTTCAAGAAAAAAAAAAAAAAAGAAAAAGAAACTCTTTTCAAAATTAAAAAAAGAAGAATGAAATCTGCAGTAGAAAGGTTATGAATAGTGAAAGTAAAGTAAATAAAGAAATTACCATCTTCGATTCTGATATAGATACTGTAATAAACGAAATCATTGAAATATTCGAATTGAAGAAGATCCTCAGAATTAAAAAATTCAGAAAAATTCTAAAAGATCTAGAAAAACGAAACCTGCAGCATGAAGATCGTGATTAACAAAAGTGAAAGAAAAAGGATCCACGATCCTTAACGATGTCTATGTAACAAACAAATCAGAACAAGCCAAATAAAAATCAAAATCGAAGGAAATTCACCAAGTCGAATCGAGAAACTGAAAATCCCTATTATNGGGGGGGGGCGACGCCGGCACAATGGACGAAGACGGAGCTCCGTGAAAATCGCAATTTCCCGGACGGATAAAGGGATGAAGAGGACGATCTGTCGGTAATTACGTCGGAGAATAGCATGTTCTAAGCAGATTACACGCAGTCGACGATTCTAAGTCGATCAGGTGGGGAGGGGGAGGGCAGAGGGCCATAAATGGCTTCCGATCTCGCGAGATCACGCGCCTATCCCTCTTTTCACGGATGCCTGGGTTCAGCCATTTTCTCGATTAAGCCCCACGTCTGAAGCCCCGCGCGGTCCGCAAGGGCCCTGTTTCTTTCTTGCCTCGTCGTCGCCGGGAAAGTCGTTCCCCCTGCTGGGGGTG